CAATCCCACCCCCGGACCTCTCTACTGTGTATTCAGACAGAGCAGCTGCACTTGTCTTTGAGTAATTGTGGGTCCAAGGATGATTATATTTTGTTCTTTGTTCAGACTCTACTGTAGTGGTGGGCTGCCGCCGCTCGGCCAGAACACTGTGTACCCACGGTGTGTACCCACGGAAGTATTCTCGCCATTAATTCAAAAGGCCTGCGCCAGTGCCTGGCTAAATCAGAGTGCTGTTGCCTAGCAACCACATAGTGTGGCGTCGGTAAATGTGCGACAGAGTGCCAAGGTAGAGAGCTACGAGCACATTCTCTCCAGGAGCCGTCAGCCTGCCAAAGGCCATCTTCTCACCGACGTGCTGGTGATAATGACCACAGTGATTCATTGATGAGCGCTCGCCTCGACAGGATGTGGAGCAGACGCTGAGCTTCTGTGGCCACGGACGCTGTTAGCTCAAGTGTACGCAGCAGACTGTCACGTCTAAAAAAAGAAAAAAAACTGACCAACAATATTTTACAATTTTTAATTAAACTAACCACTGGTAGTGAATCACAATTCATTTGGATTAATAATTGCGATCATGATCAATCGTGATTAATCCTGATTTTAAAAAATCAGGATTAATCAAGGAAAATTGACATTGCTAATATATAAGAAAAAATATTTTTCTGTATCTTGCTGAAATATCAACACTAATCCAAATCATAGAATTATTTATAAGAAAAATATACAAATGTAAAATGTGGTCTACTTTGGTTAATGTGTTTGGTTAATTTTGATTCTACATTTTTATTTTTGTTTTATCTGAAGCATCATTTAGTGTCCAGTTTCCCTCCGAGCTCCTTGATGGTGTCAATGGCCTTGTCTGAAGCCTGTCCAATGGCAGCTTGTGTCTCTTTGTTGACTTCTTGAGCAGCTTGAAGGAAAAGGGAGCAAAAATAGAGACGTGTTTTCGGGATGACAACCACAGAGGTTGGTCAGACAAACAATGTGGGAGGAAGTGTCTAAGTCACATAGTTTTACACCAGATGAGTGCACATCATGCACATCTAATACAACCTAGGGAGCGAGACCCCACGTGGACCAATTAATAATTTCAATTGTGTTGCCAATAAAAATGAAACAGAGGAAAATCACACAGTTAAAATTAAAAAAGGACATTCATTTTTAACTTAAATGCAAAACACAGGTTAGACATTTGGAGTATTACTGCAGTAGTACATACTGTAGGCCTGCAGTGTTCATTAGCTGAGTGCTCCAATATGATATTAACCTTCTATATTTAAATCAACCTTCAAGAAACTAATTATTATCTTTAATCTCTGAGGGTCTGCTTCCTGCCCCGAGGGGGTTTCTGTTAAAAATAACACCTCCACCATGACATTGTGAAGATTCACAGACATAAGACTGCTCACGTTACCTATGCCGACGGTTTCCTTGGAGGAGTCTGCCACCTGCTGCACAGCTTCTTGAGCTGCTTTCACTGAAACAACAGACAGAGAGTGTGTGGGTCCAAATCCTTTGTTACTCGTTCGTCTTGAACGACAGTCATTCGGTACCTGCAGCGTCTGTGACTCCGGTTCCGGCCGACTGACTCGTGCCTTTCAGACTCTCAAAGGATTTCTTGAACGAGGCCATGGCTGCTGTCTCGGTCTCCTCGGTTTCCACACTTCCATCTGAGCCCAGAGCTGCTGCCATAGCAGTTTAATACCCTCTGTTTGACACCCCACACCAGCAAGTCCTGCACATTCAAACAAGATTAACTGAACAAATCCGAGCCAAAGAATCCCAGACCGATTGGAATCCCGACCATTGTAGTGTCCGTCAGCGTCCAGAGCCTGGTCAGCAGTTTGTACTGATCACAAAGCTGAATCCCAAAAAACAAGAGAGAGAGAAAAAAGTCAGTACATGTTATTGAAAGTCTGTTTTCCAGATCAACAAGCAATGAATCAGAAAACAAGGTTAGACTTCTAACTGATAACCTTCCCTAAAAGCCAGTACAAATCAAAGAAGACTAACCAAAAGTTAATTTTTTTCCTTTTTATTTACAGAGGAATTGTATGTCTGGCTTAACACATAAACCTTAATATTGACAAGTCCTGCAATTAAAGCACATTTTAATGTGACAACCATCGTGATGTCAAGACGTAATATATTCTTAAAATCTTCAGTACACACAAACACACGCACACAAAACATTTATACTCTGTTCATCTTTAACAGATAATTTACTGGAATGATCACAAGCAACTATAAAGATACAATGTAAAAAACTCTTAACTTCAAAAACCTGGAAATAAATCTCCAAAGAAATGCAAAAAGAAAGGTCCCACAAACAGGCATTGTCAACACTTAAGGGGATAGTACTGTATTCATATCTGCTTGCAACCAATTATTTATTTTTTTTCCACCCCCAAAGTCTCATTGAGAGGCGGAGAACATCTATTGCACATCTCTAAATACAGATACACACAAGTACAAAGTCACAAGTCCTGGCTCTGGTCTCATTTCATTGGGAGGGAATCAAGGAAATGAGACCGAAGGGACGGATCCTACATCTCAATAAATACCTACACCCAACACATTAGTACACATTAATAACAAGACATTTACAATATATAATAATAAAAGATTTGTCTTGAAGGAAGAACATTTTTCAGAGGGAATGCTTGTCTTTTTGTCGTTTTTTGCAACGGGGTATAATTATATTAGTTTCAGCATTTGTCCGTTTTATTGTTAGAAATATTTTTTGTGCTGGTTGGAAGGTGTCTTGGGCAGATGATTCTATGCTTCTGGCTCATAATCCTGGCTCTCCTGTGAGGAAAAAAAAAGCTATAAATGGCAGGCATTTGACAAGTGCAGTGTAGAGAAAATTTACAGTAAATTTAGTTACGAGTTACGCCATACTGGGCCACAAGAAAAAGGTGAAACAAGATTTTAACATTTTAAAAAGAAGTGGAACAATGGCCTTTTCCCACTACTAAACGTACAGTAGTCTATTATTAATATTTCAGAGTATACTTACTTTAACAAATATAATTTGTTTATTTACATTTATTAAAATGTTCTTATTTTGTGAAGGCTCATAGCAAAGTGTCCTTATTTGTGAATTTCAAGTGTATTCGGTGGAGGTATACATTTTATGTGACGTCAGGATAAGGCCAGTGTTGAATTATGTTATTTCCTACGCTCAAAAACGTTCAATCAAGTGTTTCCGAATAATCTCGAAGCCGAAGCTCGTTATTTAAAAAAACAAAACTCCTAAAGCTTTTACTAATTACAATAAAATACGATCCTGGACTGAATAGTTACTAATTACAACTGATTTTATCGATATTGTTAGCGTAATAGCGATTAACCTGTACAAAACTGTCAGCATGTGTAAGTATCGCGATATCTCGTTAGAAACTCACACCCTTCGTGGTTTCTCTGGTGACTCAGTGACTCTTAGCAACCAGCAGAGGGCACCAAAGCCCTACACTACCTTCAAGGACGAGTCACGAGCATAATCCTATTATCCTGTAACCCTGCAGTAGCCTCTCATCCTCCTCACACGTGATCATAGCAAAAGTGACGTCGCGGTGATGAGTTATTATCGCAATTATCGAACCCTCTGTTCTTTTCTATGAATGTTTAGCTAACTTGGTAGCACGCATTACAGCAATGCAGGCGGATCCTGACATTTCCCACAATGCAACGAGGCAGACAGCGTCATCACCACACCCATTCAAGCAGAGCTAAAACAGAGCTGGTGTAGCAGAGGCTGGGGGAGGGGAAGAAGATGCAGAGGAGTGGGAGAAAGATGGAGGCTGACACGGACGATGAGAGGAACGACTTCGGAGAAATTCCAATTTAAAATGTTTCTCCGTAAAAAAAACAAAGTAATTATTTATTCAAATGATTAAAACAATAATCGCATTACGATGTTCCGTGCGTTCGACTGAAGAGTAAACGTCGACACTGGGTGAATTAACATCCTCGCATCTCTTATTACATCGAATCACATTTTAAACACTTAAATATATCAAAGCACTTCCTGCTGCGGATCATTCTATTCACGACTGACCCTCTTTACATGAGGGGCACTCAGGGGTGAAATTAAAATCTGCTTTCAGCGCAATAAAAAAACAGCAGTTCATCGTGGCCCTGACAGCCAAACTCCAAAAATAGCCATCACTGACACACGACACCGTGTGTAGGTAGGTGGTGCTATACTCAACGTACGATGGTTTATTTAAAAGTACCATTTTATTAAACGCGCAGACTGGAGTGGAGGGGGCAAGTAGAACAGGGGCTATTTGAATGTAATCTACTGTGGTCACATACTGTACAGTGTGAGTTTCACTGCAGGTAAATGGAGTTTTTAACAGAGTCTAATTCCGGCAGAACGACGTGACATGCAATCCATGAATACAGAGCAGACACTGGCGTGCAGCACGATTACCTGCTGGGTCTCATCATATGTCTCTCCTTCTGGCTCCAGCATCGACTCCCCCTGGCCCTCCATGGCCTCCTGCCCGTACTCCTCAGGCTGCAGGGAGACAGAGGGAGATGGAGAGGGAGAGAGAGAAAGACAGAAAAAGAAAATCCATAACAGACGGAAAACTGACAAAACACACACCCATTACTACTGTGTATACAGACACAAACACAAACTACTGTATAAATATATACACAGATATATACATATATGTACATACATAAATATATATATTTATATATGTATATATGTGTGTATATATTCATATTTAAAATCAAAGTTTGGGAGCAACTGCCTGGAGATTGCAATACTGTAATATAAGCTTATGCATTGTAGGTTAAATTACCACCCAACCCCCCAGCAAAAAAAAAAAAAATCAATCAGTCACAAACAGATCTTGTGCCCAGCAGCAGAGGACTGAAGAACTAACCAATAGCTTTCCTTCAGTTTTAACCACATTAACCTGTTATTTATACAGGAATCAATAGATTAGTTTAATCTTCTGCTAATTGTTATTTAATGGAGAAAACACTGAGTCCCAGCCACCCAGTGTCTCCCTCTGAGGTCTGTCTGCAGCAGACATCACTGATCATCATCACTGCACCCAGTGTACTGTAACAGTAGTGGGTCGTTGCCACACACTTACATTTAAAGCCGGCACTAATCAAGTCAATTAGGTCAGAGGAAAAAAACCACCATAATCTGGTGTGTATCAAGCTGCTGCTGTTCCAGATCCACCAACCTGAGGGGCGTGTCCTTAAAAGCTACACAGCGGAAAAACCCAGCTGAGAATTCCAACAGAAATATAATCAGTCGAGTAAAAGTGTTTATCTTTGACTGACTGAATGGTTGATTCAGTGAATTCAGCAGAGGGTCAGCCAAAATACAAGCAACATTCTTGTTTGTATGTGACAAATGTGATTGGCTCTAAACATTATTTATAAATAGCAATAAATAGCAAAAAACCTCAAGATCTTTACATTTTTAAATATTCAGAAATATTAAAACTTTTTTTTCAAATGACTTTTTACTATATATAATTAACTGCATAAAATTGTAAAATAATAAAATTCCATCATCTGTTCTTCCTCTCAGGGAACAACGATGATGTGAAGCTAGAGTATAATTATTAAATTATTATTAATATATATCTTTATATAAACAAAAGTAGGCTCAAACCACCAGGGGCCGCTAAAAAATTTCAACCTTAGTTTCGTGTTTTTTCCTCTCTGTCAACCAGACACTTGATGATCTTGTAGAATATTTCCTCGTCTTCTGTGATAACAGCGTCAGCCGTCTAACAGCCTGTTGTCAGGGTTTTAGGATAAGTAGCCCAGTGACTGGGACAGCGCCGTCCGCAGGCTTGTTAGAGCAGCCTGTCAGATTCACTAGATTAGAGGATCTGACTCTGGAGGACGGAGGATTAAGACGAGACGAGCGTCTCGTTTCACTGTCGGTCTGACGCGGATGGACTAAATGTCAACGGTGCAGCAGGAGCAGCTCACTCAGGCCCATGTAGACAGAAACACTGGCAGCCAGACAGTGAATTATCTTCAGCAATACTCGAGTACATACTCTGGGTATCTCCCAGACTGTAGAACCATTTGACATCTACAATCTGTGAGTGTTCGTGGGCCAGAAATGGGCCCCGGGTCGAGGGTTAAACACCCCAGTTCATGTGCCTAATTTTTTTCTTTTTTTTTGGTGCTGTATTTGCATCTTTATGGTGTGTGTGCGTGAAATGATGATCAGGGTGAGAGATGTCGTCAGGGTGACAGGCTGCTGGTCATTTAAAGGCACAGAGACAATGAAAACAGCCTGGGTTTTATTAGAGGGTGAGGAACAGCTCAGTGTGAAGTAGGGGTGAGTCACGTCACCATTCATCCCCCAACGACCTGGCACTACAAAAGTCGATTTTTTAAGAATGCAAACATAATAATAATAATAATAATAATAATAATAATGATAAACTGACATATGTTCATTATGAAATTGAACTTGTGACCCAGGCTGTTACTGAAGACATGTCTTCTAATACATGTAACAACTGCCGACTTCCTGTACATCCGGAGTACACGGCCACTACTACAGTATTTAAATGAGGTCACATGGCCTGTATGAGAGGATGTTGATTTTGTACATACATTCATGTCAGCGGGAAACTCTTCCTTCTTCATCAGGCCAGTGGCAGCGGCGATGTTGCCCATAGCCCCAGTGGTCTTATCAGCCACTGCAGAGAGAGAGAGAGACACACACACACACACACACACCATGTGACATTATCACAACAGATTCTCTACACCCGTGTTTTCATTTAAACCAGTTCTTTATGTTGGCTTTAGCTTGTTTTGATTTGAGTTATGAAGATTGTCATAAAATGAGTGAAAACTCACCTGAGCCCACACTGTCTTTGGCCCTGTTACCTGAATGAACAACAACAACAACAACAACAACAGATCAGTCAAGACAACGAATCATGTGACCAACTTTGATCTTTTAACACCTTTCTACTCGACACAGCAGTGAAGCACACAGTGATTTGTCATGATGTAACCTGGGACTGAAGGTGAGGTGGAATTGAACACACAACCTACTGCATGGCAGGCATGCACAAACCATGTCATATATATAAATATATATAAAAATATATTAAAAAAATACATATTTATATATATATAAATATAAGTATTGTGCACCTTTGATCACAGTCACACTGACTTTGTTGTTCTTTCATAAACCGGACGGGATGATATTACAGTTTCAGTGTTGACAAAGCTAAGGTTCTGAAATCCACCTCCTGCCAAACAACAGTTACATCACAGTTTCCTGCTGCTCCTATTGGCTGCTGTACGTACAGCATATATACACACGATTTCCACTGTAGACATGGTTTAGTTCTCTCAGAGATCCCATCTCACTGTACACCACTGAGGGACAGAATGAACCCGCCCTCGGTGGTCCGGATCACTCTGACACTGTGTCGTTTCGCTCTGCTGTGCTGCAGACTCAGGAATTATTGCCCCCCGGGGGGGTGGGGGGGGTGGAGGGGTTATTTATTTTTTAAAGCTGACTGTGAGGAAAACTAAATCAAAGTGAAGTGGTCTGTGGAGAGACAGATGATGACTGCAGTGACAGGTTAAAACATAGGTTTTCAACACGTTCCTGTGTTTAAGGAAGAAATGACCTTTGACCTGCTACATTTATAACGACAAACTGGGAAATTTAAAAATTGAATTTCAATGGTCAGAGGTCGACAAACAGGAGGGGGTAACTGCATATACTACTCTGGTCCTTTGTAGTAGTATTTATTTAAGGGTGTATTAGTACTCTTTTTTTAAAACACATCATCATTTTTATTTTATTTTTGGCACTACGTGAAAACCAGCTGCAGTTTCCTTGAACTCCAAACAGAGGTTTGTTGTCAACTGACCACAGTATGAGCTCACAGAGTCACTGTGTCTGTAGTCACAGGTTTATGAATAAGATCGTTGGCGTCTGCGAAGCAGGATTTTCTCACTGGCGTAATGCCACTCTTGACCTGATCAGCTGAGAGGGCAGTCTGTAGCAGCTGCAGCTGTTAAAAGGTAGGAGCCATAGACCTGTCAGATCACCCCCTCCCCTCCTCCCCGCTCACCCATGAGGGGCCTTAAAGGAGATCTAGGGCAGCACCGTGCCCCACAAACCATACACAGACTCACACAGATGCCACAGACTGGGTGTGTGACAGGGTCATGGTGACAGCTGACCACTCAACTGTAGTTTTTATCAATTCACAGAGAACCATCTCCAGTGAAAGTAAAACGTCCAATGACTCAGTCTGAGACGATGATGAGTGACAACTAATAAATAAATACAGGTTCCGGGGCGGCGCTCTGAGCCTCTGGAGGCACAATCAACGTACAGTGGTTTAATAGACAAACTACAGAGTCATAACTAAAGCTGTAAAAGGAACGACATTCATTGTCTGTTGATGGACTTTATAAAAACATAATTATACTACAGTAACTGTGTACTTCAGAGATTAAATCATTACTACACAACGAGTTTCCAAGGTTCACAAACATCAACAAAAATAACCACGAATAACAATAAAAATAGATTTACTTTATTAGTGATGGGATTAAAAATAAATCATCAGGCTGATTCACAGCTTTGTAAATAATTGATGACGGTGGTTTTAGAGCTCATTATAAAAAGGAAAACTCTTGAATTCTAACTGTATAGAACATTCGACCACATTATAAATAATCCAAATAAATTACTAACCCAGTGCTGTTGGTGTAATCGACATTTTTCAATCAACATTTTATTTACTGAGCGTCTCATTAAATATTTATAGTTCAGGCTGGTTAGCACCCGTGATCACGGCATTAAAATTTCATTAATGACATTAAGGAAATAACCATGTGTTACTGTCCAGCCGCAGAGACAACGGTCCTCACTGAGGAGGCACGGCAGGAGAGTAACAGAACTCCAGGTTTCTATTAACTAAGGCTGTCAAAACTAACTCATTAATCCCATTAATTTATCTGTGAGTTTATTCAGAATAAAACCTTTCTATGTATTTTAACGATCAAATAATTGTTATTAATTGTGATTAATCCTGATTAACCATAATTCATTAATCAGATGAAATTCTTTATATTTTGTCAACTCTAATATATACAAATAGATACTGCATATATAAATATAAATACTTTGTACTTCGCTTTTAAAAACCTGATACTCAGTGTATTGATTATATTGTTGTATTGACTGTTGGTAACATTCACAGCCGGTCAACAGTGGACACCGTGACACTGCGGCGCTAATCTTTGTCATTGTCCCTAACGGTGTTAGATTCCAAACTAGCCAGCCTTAGCATCTGCCCGCAGGAGAGACTGTTTACCAATCTGCTGCCAACCAGTGAACGGACATGTGGTCAGAGCTGCTGCTGCTGCTACAGTCATCCTGCCCCACCCCCACCTCGCTGCTCATCTTCCGCCTGTGGCTCAATGATGTCAGGCAGAAAAGGAAAAGGTTCGCAGCACAAGAACATTTGGAGCCGTGTTCTCCCGCCCTGCACATCGAAGTGAGTCAATGTGTCACGGCGGTGAACACTGCAGCATCACTGATGAGTATTTAACAACAGGAGTATAAAAACACACAGCCAGTGATCACCTGACAGCTTCAACCAATCACCATTCAGAGGAAAGACTGAAGATACAGACATGTTGACAGAAGGACGTTTTTTTCTTGGTTTAAATGGGCATGTTGGGTCATGTCTTACAGAAGGGGTGTCAAACTCATTTTCACTGTGGGGGGGACGGGGTGGGGGACTGGTTGTAAATGGAAGACTGCATAGATGTAACTAGTAATGTATTAATAAATGTTTCTGCAATTGACTCTTTTTTATTCAATGTACAAATATTATTTATTGCTGTGTAATAATAATAATAAAACATTTATTTTTTCAGGTCAAGAAACTCTGCTGCATGGACTTTATTAAACTCCCGCGGGCCATACAAAATGACTTGGCGGGCCACATTTGGTCCCCGGGCCTTGAGTTTGACACGTGTTTTTTCATTTTTCATTTTAAACAACTTACCAAACTGGCTGATGAATGTAAAAAGAAACAACATTCAGTTATATAATAAATATATGTATAATATATGTATACATATATTATCAGTTCATGTTGTCTTTTCTCAGGTGCACATGCAGCAGCCATGTTACCGTAACGTGCTGGTGACAGAAGCAGCGTTGGTGCCATTATTCACACCAACGGTGTAAAACAAATTCATATTTTATGAATTTGCCTGCTTTTCTTTCACACATGTCGGAGTCTGTGTGTGCGTGTGTGTGTGTGCGTGTGTGTGTGGTGTCCATGTGAATGTTCTTACCTACAAACATCACTCCTTCTTTAGTCTTCTCCGCTGCGACTGCGACACCTTCCTTGGTCTTCTCTGCAGCCACTGCCATGCCCTCCTTCGCTTTAGACAGACCTTTCATAAACACATCCATCTTGGCCGAAATACTGTTGACACACGAGAGGAAGTCAGTCAAAACAGGTGCTGTCCATTAGGCTCCTCCCCCTGCCCACACCCCATAAAAAAATACACTATTTGGTGTTTTTGTTAAATATGTGTCAAATATGCAAATTCCACTAATGGGTTTTATAATGCTTTAAATAAAACAAGATCATTATAACATTTAATTCAGTATATATATGAGTGTATAAATAGTCATATACATTATATAAATTCATATATATATATCAACACATATAAATATAAAGCACATATACACATGATATATATGTGTATTAGATGTATACATAGTTGCATATATATTTGTTAAAATTAAATTTTTAAATTTAAATATATAGTCATGTATATTTAACAATATTTTATATTCTCTCTCTCTTCTTCATATTTATATATACATATATAATATATAAATGCATATATTTATACATAGAAAAATCAAATAGACACATAATACATGCAAACATATATTCTTCTGAACAGTATACATATATTTACAGTATACATATATATATCTATATTTCTATCTACAAAACCATAATTATTAATTAGGACAAGGAGGACGGTATAGTGTTCATTTAACGGGTGGTTGGCGTGTATAAGGCCACGAATGCTTAGGAGATGGACAGCAGCTCCCCCTGCGGTAGGTCCTGGTAGCTGCAGCAGTCAGGTTGTAGTAAAAAAGCCCGCTGCTCACTCATCCGTTCCAGCCTCTGTTCCCATCAAATATTTAAAGGCCGAAAGATTTCAATAGAATGGTTAATTGTGGCGGTGCTCATTAATTATTGCTCTGCTCCGGTGCTGCCCAGGGTGGCAGCGGGATGACGAGCCCGGCCGGAGCTCGGGCCTGTTCTTGGGGCCGTACGGCACGTTACCACACAGTAATGGAAGCAAGGACACGAACGCTGCTGGGGGAAGGGAAGCAGGCTGTCCACGGTGATATACGCCTGGCGCATCACGGTTTTAACGCGAAAACTCAGTGGATGTAATCTGATATGAGAGACGCGGGGATGGGTTTTATTGAAGCGCGCCCCCAGGCTGCAGACCGACAGACCGACCGAGCGACCGACCGACTGCTAAAAATCTGCTTTTTTCCATCGGGCATCACTTCTTCAGTCCTACCCTTCATGCTGCAGGTCAAACCGAACTTAGTGCACGCAGATATTCTTTAAACATCTCTACATTTGACTCGTGATAAAACATGAAATACACCGAAGAAAGAGAGAGAGAGAGAAAGAGAGAGAGTGAAATACATTTCTAATATATTCAACGTGCACATATGACCATGAAGGAATGTGGACGACGAGCTTCGAACCAGTCTATTTTAAACGTCTTCTCGTGGCGACGCTTCCACGCGCGCTCCTCCAATGGTGGTGACCTCTATGTGTTTAAAAGATGGGAGATGCAGCAGTGAGTCACAGACACAGACACAGACGGTCCTTACCTATTTACACACAGCCTTCGACTTGTCCCCTGATGGTCCTGTGGCACCGTCGACTCCTATCTATCGTCTGAATGGGAGATATCTTCAAATGATCACTAGGTGGGCCTTCCTCGGGCTGATCTCCACCAACAGGGACGGCCCCCTTCACGGTGCGGCTGAGACTGTCATCCCCCACCCCACCCCCCCCCCCCCCACCTCTCCTGCTCCTCCCCTCCCCTCTCCCTCCCTCTCTCACTGCCTCCTCCATCACAAACTGCCTCCGCTATCGATCCCCCTCAGCTGGCACCTGGTACAGCGGCGGAGCGGAGGTGTTAACAGAGGAGCCCCACGTCACCGGGCTCCTCTTTGAGATGCAGCTCATATTCCAGCTGTGCACATGTGACACACAAATCGAACGAACCGTAGAAAACCAGCGGTGTGCACGGGAACTGACATCCACCATGAGCTCAATCCCAGTCTGTTTACTGACGTCACTGGACCTGAGGTGTAATTAACGCAACTGTATATGATGATGACAGAGAGAGAAATCGATATGCAGTTTTTTATTCCAGTGTATACCGGTGTGGTCTGAGGATGACACCACTGTGGAAATGAAAAGCAGGGCGGGTTAATGTCCCGTGCAGCCACGCGAGTCTCTGCTCTGAATCGATATTTTGACCAGCGAGTGAAGCTAATCAATATTTAAAACCGATAACCAACACCAGAGCAGCTACAGCTGTATATGTTTACTTAAAATAAATAATTTTAATGAAGATATTAGTTGATGTTTTAGGGTGACGTTCCAAGTCCTTCGTGACAGGTTCACTGGTTTGTATAACATTAGGACGGCAGCAAATGTGCTTCGACCAATCAGAGCGCAGGAGGAGCTGGGACACGATCACGACGTCCCGCGGTGTCGACAGTCGTGATGAGCTCTTCGGATGAACAGCAGTGATGTATGTCTGTGAACGCACCACATCAGTACATGTTTCACTCCCGTGGGTTTGCAGCACATGTAAAGGGTTAAATGTGCCGCCTCCTCCTCCCCACGAGTTTTCCCCCAGTGTCCGACTGACGTCAGTGCGGTGACGCCATACTGGATGTCGTGGGCGAGTCATTACGAAATCCCACCAACCTAAAGCCCCCACTCGGCTAAGAAATCCCCCATAAAGCTCCTTGGATCATCCGGTCTCTGGGTGTGAGAGGTGTGAACAGGCGGCGACTGTGAATGGACGAGGACGTGTCACGTCATCAATGAGTGAACCGAGGTGGTGCAACAAATAGTGCCACCTGTCTGTGTGTGGATGTAATCACAATCGTTTCGTTAAAATTTTTTTTAGCCCTTCACATCACGTGTTTGGAGTCAGTTTTTGTCTCTTTTTTTTAGTCCTGAAACACGAGTCTGAATTTCACGCGGTACAATAGAGCTCTCAATGGTTCTGAACCAAAGCGTCACTCTGTCCCTGGTTCTGAACCAAAGCGTCACTCTGTCCCTGGTTCTGAACCAAAGCGTCACTCTGTCCCTGGTTCTGAACCAAAGCGTCACTCTGTCCCTGGTTCTGAACCAAAGCGTCACTCTGTCCCTGGTTCTGAACCA